TCAATAAATGATGTCAGGTCAGGTGGGGTCACCGGTGGTTGGGAATCCAGAGGCCCTGCAGGCCGGTACTTGGTCTCTGGGAACAGGCCCCAGTGGCTAATCTAATGGGGGCTGCAGACTCCAAGAATCGAGCCGAGTGTCGATATACACCTTATTTTTGTGCTTTGAAAACTTTATGCAAACTTTGTTTAAATGGAATGTTTCTGTGTTGCTTCATTTTGGAAACATGAATTCCCGAGATACTTAGGAAGGAAAATGATAATGTCGGCAACCATAAAAAGAATCCTTTTTGGCTTATGTGTCTGGCCGTCTGAACCTCTACAGTTAAAGCTTTTGGGTTATTGTATCTACAACTTAACTGCTTATGTGAAACAGAGGCTTATTGTTCCAGAGTTGATGGCTGTGTTTCTCTGCTGCTGCTGGTCTTTGAGGAATTATCTTAGGGAGGAAGTACAGAAAGCGTAGTCCAGGGTGGCGAGTGCCGCCTTTATATTGATACTCAGACATTTTCATTCCATACAAAGTAAAATTTGAACACGGCTTCCCTACATACACAAACTCAATCCCAAGCGATTGTAGCTCTAAATATGAGAGGTAAGACAATAAATACTCCGGAAAGTAGCATAGAGCAATGTTTTAACCAGCTTAGGAAAGGGGAAGCTTTCTTAAACAGGATAGAAAAAGCACTAAAGTAAAAGAATTGATAGATTGGGCTGCATTAAAATTAAGGACTTCTATTCATCAAAACAGTTAATGAGAAGACAAATCATAGGGGACAAGAAAACGTTGGCAATGAATGAAATGAACAAAGGGTTAATATCCAGAATATATCAAGAACTGTTACAAATCAGAAAGATAAATGCAGAAATACCTATTATAAAAATAGTTAAGAGATTGACCGGGCATCAACACAAAATGGCCAACATACATAAAATCGCATTAGTAATTAAGGAAAAGTGAATCACACACACACACATGCTGGCTAAAATTTAAAAGACTGATAATGCCAAATATTGGCAAACATGTGAAACATAAGAATATTTCATACATTTTTTATAAAGATCTAAATTGGTATGATAAGGTGGGGAAATTGGCTTTACGTACTCAATCTGAACATGCATGCACTATGACTGCAATATACACATACATTTTCACTTGTGTGCAGCAAAAGACTTATGCAAGAATGTTTATGGGGCGCTATTCATATTAACCCCAAACAGGAAAGCACTGGAGTCCCCATCAATGGTAGGGTGGATAAATTGTCAGGTTAGGGTGCTATATAGCAAGGAAAATGAAGCAATTACAGCTGCGTGCTACAGCGTGAATGCATTTCACAAACACAGTAGCTGCAAAAGAGGTGAGATGCAAGAGAAATACATATCCTATGATTCCAGGCACTAAGCTTTGGTGATAGCAGTCATTGTGGTGGTGACTGGGACGAGTGAGGGAGACAGCAGTTCTGAGGAAGCACAGGGTGGGGTCTCTGGCGTGTTGGTAATGCTGGCTGCCTCTTGGGTCAGGGTTGCACAGACATGTACATTTCATGATGATTCATCAAACTGCACACATATCCTTTGTGCAACTTAAAAATGTATGTCTTGCTTTAACTTTGGAAGGTTAAGTCTATATACAGTGAAGTGCTTAGCTTTGGACTGGACTCAACTTTTCTGCACCCCCAACAGAAAAATGCACATTTCCAGCTGCTTCGGGAGTATTTCTTTCAGCATCTCTGATTGTCCCCAGAGAATATTGTCCTCAGCCATTGCTGCTTTTCAGGAGCTAAGAGCTCCTGCAAAATTGGGCTCTAGGAGAGAGTGGGAGTCAAGTTGGCTGTGTGAAAGAGTGTACCTTAGACTAGCCACTGGGGCCTGCCCCCTAGACCACAACTGCAACCAATGCCAGCCTGCCGGGGCCTGTAGCTCCCCGTCACCAGCAACCCACCAGCCTCACCCTCTCTGCAGCCTGGATTAAATAAGTAGCGTGAAGTGATAGTGCCTCAGAGCCCCACTCAGTTGATGTTGATCAAGCATCTGTCCTGGGTTTACTGCTGTGCTTTCTCAGAAGCTCACAAGTGGAGAAACAGACAATAAAGTAAATACCAAACAAGATGCTTTCAGAAAGTGCTACAGGCTTCGAGGGACATGGGACCAGATGGAGAGATGAGTGATGGGGAGGGGCTGAGCTGGGCAGGTGACCAGGGAAGGCCTCAGTGAGGAGGTGTGGCTGTTTCCTGGAGCTGCTGTAACAAAGTGTCACAAACTGGGAGACTTAAAACAACAGAAATTATGCTCTCACAGTTCTGGAAGGCCCAAATCCGAAGTCAAGGTGCTGGCAGGGCTGATTCCTCCTGGAGGCTCAGAGACAGAGCCTGTCCATGCCTCTGATCCCTGGCTTGTGGCTGCACTGCCACCCCCATCTTCACATGGCCTTCTCCCCTCTGTGGGTGTGTTTCTCTGTGTCCAAATTTCATCTTCTTATGGGGACACCAGTCATTGGATTTGGGGCTCTCCCTACTCCAACATGATCTCATCTTAACTTGGTAACATGTGGAAAGGACTTCCTATTTAGGGCCCATTAGCGAGAGGTAGTGAGATGGTGCTGAGACAGACAGGGTAGGAGGGAGTCAGCTGTGGAGCCAGGAGAACAGAGTTCCAGAAAAACAGCATAGCACAGGCTGATACCCCACAATCGGAATGAGCCTGGAGCTCTGTAGCCTCAAAAGCTGGGGCGCCTGGGAGGAGAAAGGGCCAGAGGTGAGATCACTGGTGGAGAGGCTGCTCAGGTGTATGGGATGCCTGTGCAGGATCGCAGGCTGGGATGACCACTCTGCTAGTTTTCCCAGGACCCTGGGGGTTCCTGGGACACAGGATTTTCAGTGCTAAACCCAGGACTGTCCCCAGCAAAGCGGGATGAGTTGCTCACCCCATAGCTGGCTTTAGTGTAGACCACTTCCTCATTCACCACGGGGTTAGCAGCCAGCATCTCATTTTCTGTGTCATTTCACAATGGGAAGTTAGAACAGCCACCGAGTGACAGCTCACTGTACACCGAGCGGTCTGCTAAGCGTTTCACAGACTCAGTGCGTGCCCAGCCCCCACATGAAGAAGGTGTTATTGCTGTGCCCCTGTAGCCCCTCGCCCTTCACCACCACCTGCTGCCTCTTCCCCACCGGCTGTGTCATTTTCATATCCGTTTTTCATGAGAAGGTGGTAATTGGCCCTAATGTGTAGGAGGCACACCAGGGAAAGGAAACTGTTGGTGTTTTACGTGTCTATCCAGTGACCACAGGTGAGTCTGGAACCTTTTACACATAGTAATTTTATTCCCACAGCAGAAAGAGATGCAGTTATCACCCTTATTTTATAGATGAGTAAACTGAGGTGAGGGGAAGCTACTTAACTTGATGCATGTCACTCAGTGAGGAAGCCAGGGCTCTGGGACATGAGTCCTTGTTCACTTCTCCCTCTACTGCATCGCCTTTGAAGCAGCAATGTGCCCAATGGATGAGTGGCCAATTTTTCCAGGAGGCCAGCTGCTCTCAATATGTGTGTTTTGGATAAAAAAAATACATAGTATCATCTGGTTTATGTTGTGACTTTGCAGATACTTTGCGTCTGCACAATAAGCATGTTTGCCTTGAGCAGGAGCCAGAAAACCTTAGCCTGGGCTGAGCTGCAATGAATGAGACCCTCAGCTCATAGGCTGGGCCTTGCATTCCCTTCACTAGCGTTTTGAGAAGGGCCTCCCTGAATGCCAGCAACGGGGTGAATTCAGCTTAACTCGCAGCACATTGATTGTTGCCTAAGGTATGTCAGGAACTGTTCTAGAGACGTGGGGAGGCCAAGGCAGGAAAGAGATTTTTGATGCCCTCACAATCAGGTGAAAATTGGACAACAGCAATAAGTGCTGATAATGCTACTTTGTGAGCACTCTGTAGTGAGTGAAGCATGGAGCATATCTCACTGACCCCTCCAGCAACCCCACGAAGGCAGACTCAGTTCTTATCCCCACGTGCGGATAGGGAAACCAAGGCTGAGGGCAGCAAAGTCCCCCACCCAAGGCCTGACAGCCTGTAAGTTGCAGGGATGCGACCCGGGAGGCAGGGTGGCTCTGCAGCGGGCCGTCTCTGCTCTAAACACACCGTAGGTCTGCCTGGGAAAGTGCACTGGTAGACCTTTGTAGGCTGGAGAGGGCTTTAAGAATACCCCTGCCCAGGTATGGGTTTTAAGAATATAAGGTTACTTGAAACTGGCAAGGCCCAGGTTATTTTTATTAACAGACCCTCTGTGTGTGCCATGTATTGCATTTTGCAAAACGTTTTTATAACTATACTTGTTAAATTCAAAGTATCAGTCATAAGCCTCTGAAAACGTAAATGTATCTCAAAGGTCATGAGGTCATATGTGGGTGACATAGTCCATAAAATGGTGTAAAATAGCTGTAATAGGATCTGCCATAACTGGGTCCCATGATTTACATAAAGAGGCACTGTTGGCTGATGGGAAAAGCTCACATTCTAGAATCAGAGACGTGTTCTATTGGGCAAAAACATCTCCTCGAGCACCTCTGGGTGCTACTGGATAATTTGAAAAAGTTACTCGATCTCACTGTGCCTCAGTTTCTTCATTATTTAGAATAAGGATAATAATAGTACGTCGAATTCAGAGGGCTATTATGGAAACTAGAGATGAGAAGGACCCCTGCTACTTGGTAAACTCCATGCTATTATCACCACCAGCACCACAATCACCACTGTCACCACCACAGTCACCACCAGCATCACCACAAGAACTACCACCACCACCATCACTGTCACCAACACCACCACCACCACCACCCCCTCCTGGCTGTGCACATCAGAGTCCTGGCAGTTTGTGCAGAGTGCTGAGAGTGGCACTGCAGCTCCAGGGCTGCCTGTTGAGGGCAGAGCAAAGGGAGGTGCTGTGACCGGACTTCCTTGAGGAAGACGCCTCTCTCACGCTGCCATGCTTCCTTCACAGGCATTGGCCTCAGCGCGCTCCCCATGTACCTGAGCGAGATCGCGCCCAAGGAGATCCGCGGCTCCCTGGGGCAGGTGACCGCCATCTTCATCTGCATCGGTGTGTTTGCCGGGCAGCTGCTGGGCCTGCCCGAGCTGCTGGGAAAGGTGAGTGTGGCCCCTGGCCCACCGTGTCCCTTCTCATTTCATCACCATCTCAGCTTCCCCGGGTCCCTTGCAGCTTCCCTGACTAAGCCCAACGCAGGCTGACGGTTTCCTTGTCTGGAAGTCCATTCTCACCTTCCTGAAGGATAAAGTGTAGTCAGAGATGAGCCTCTACTCCAAAAGCTTGTCCCCATGTCTTAGAATTCCTGAGCACACAGGCTTTTCATTTCTTATTGGAGAAAAGTTGCCATTGAGATCCTTTGATTGGGTTTGATATTCTTTTAGGATGTAAAGAATACACAATTTCAAACCTACAGAATGTTCAAATCCACCCACCCCGTAGCTATTGTTCGCGGCTCAATTAGTTTTCATTTAGGCTTTTTTCTTTGCTTATATAAACCTATATAAACAAGTAGGTTTTTTTTTTTAATGGGACCATGCCATACACATTGGTCTACAACTTGCTGTTTTCATTAATGCATCTGTCTAAAATGTCATGCTTAGCTGTACCTCCCTGTTGAGACATTCTTTCCTACACAAATACAGAATTGCACAGTGTTCTGTTTTTGGTTTTCTGTATTGGAAGCAGGAAGGCCTGACTTTGAACATCAGGTCAACAATTGACTTGGTTGTGGCCGTGGCAGGGAAGAAGCCTTACTCAGTTTGAGGTGGGGAGGGAGGGATCAAGGAAGGCTTCCCAGAAGAGGTGGCCTGCAAATTGAACCCCAAAAGGTGAGCAGGAGTTAAGGAGTGGTGATAGGATTTGAAGTGAAGGCATTGCAGGGAAAGGGAATAACTAGCAGGCAGGCTCAGTGACAGGGCTGTGACAGGGGGAGAACCTGTGTCAGGAGCCCCAATTCACTGACTGGCAGCAGACTTCCTTAGTCCTGGGGGATAGGGAGCCCCAGCTTAGGGCCGGGGAGTAACATGGCCAGCTCTAAGGTCAGAAGATGGCTCTGGAGGTAGGGGTGGCGTGCACTAGGGTGGGAAGGAGGAGAGGGCCCTGGGAGACACTGCTATTGGTGCTGGGCTGAGGGAAGAACATGGTGGACACTGAGGCAGTGGCCCTGGGGAGAGAGAGGGAGGTGGATGAGTCCCCAGGACTTGCTGTCTGAGCGTCCCACCAGGAGAAGGGAAGGCGAGTGGCTAGGATGCCTCCCAGAGAAATGGAGTGTAAGTGCCTTCCAGTTAGGCAGGAAGGCTGGGAGGGAGGGGATGGAACCTCTAGAGGTGGTCGAGTGTCAGATGCCCACCACCAAGTCCCACCATGCCTGGCGCCTGGACAGAGCCCAGTTCCCAGCCCCCCACTCTGTGAGCTGGATCCCAGCAGGAGGAGGACGGCCACAGAAACCCCTAACAGTGCACACGCCATACAGCGCATATGTAAAATAGTTATTTCTCCTGCCCTTCAAATCCTCAGGGCTACCATGTGAGCATCTCTATAGCTGTGGAACTGGACGCAGGGAGAGGTGAGGTATTGCACTAAACAGTAAAATCTTTCTGGAGCTGAAACCAGACCCGGTCTGCTCTCAGGCCCACGTGGGGGTGTGTCTTACACAGCCAGGAACCCAAGAACCGGACGCACTGGGTTCTCCGGGAGAGTGAGGTTGGTTCCCCTGGCAACCAGCCCCCTCCTCAGCTGCTCACTGGAAGTCACCTTATTAACATAAACTCAGGGGTGGTGGAACATTAGGGCTTCTTTATTTCTCTTTTCCCTTAGGAAAAGCCAAGGATTTGAGGACAGAAATAAGGCAAAGACCAAATATTTCTTATAAATTACAGTACAACAGCGAGGGCTTAGGTAAGAAGGGCACCCAGTGCCTGAGCTGTTCTAACCTGAGAGGCAGCTCCTGCCTCATTCAAGGAGTTTTATAAACTGAGCTATCGAGCACGGTGGCCTGGTGATGATATGATAAAGGGAGCTGGTTGGCATTTGTCACTTAAAATTTTTTTTGATTGTTTTTCTAACACTTTTTATTGTGGTAAAATGTATATAACGTCAGTGTAGCTCCTAGGGAAAGGGTGTGCCTGGCCTAGTACGAATCCCCTATGAAACCAGTGAAACTGAAATCAGTCAAGGGAAAGAGCAGGTTGGGGGAAAGCTTTTTTTTTACACTTGCTAGAATTTTCTAGGGAAGCCCGGCCCTGACTGCCTCCTCCAGCCACTCACGCTCCACTCCCTTGGCACGTTCTGTACCTCCCCCCTGGGAGGACTCTATTGGCGGGTCCTTGGTGACTGGCAGATGCCAGACCAATTATATACTAGGAACAGCCGTGAGGAGAGAATGGCCATCTGTCCAACCCTTGCCCCAGAGGCTGTGGGAGGCTACAGTGGAAAACACCTATTGATGCGTAAATGGACTAAGGCTAGGCAGGAGATTCAGCAGTTTACCCCACAGGCTTACCATTTTAATCATTGTTAAGTGTACAATTCCATAGTATTTCATATGCCATGTTCTATGTCAGCTGATCCAGAGTGCCTCAGAGGCATCTGCTTCTGATATTTTATTTTTGCCTCTTGGGTTATTATGGCTACAGTTTTGTCTTTCTCTTTGCAAAAACAGAAACAACTAACACCTTACATTTGTGGTTGTCACATGCATGACGATTTCTGTAACTAACGTGAGCCATTAGAAATCATCTCCTTAGCAAAGTAAGATCCTATGCTTTGTTTTGTTTCCAAATATATCTTAAAATTATAAAAGTACACATTGCATGTGTGACAATAAAAACAATATAACAGTTACAGCCCCTGCTCTTTCACCATAAACGTGTTTTAAAGCCAACGGCAGTACTGTTGTCCTACAGGAATAAAAAAGTAATAAATATCTGTCTTCAGAAAGGCTGAGCTTTCCTCTTTCAAGGTAATTTCCAATTCCTTGTCTCTCATCACACCCTCTTTTGTATATCAATATGAGGTCCTTTCTGCTACGTGGGTGCTGTCGTAGTCTGTTCAGGCCGCTGTAACGAATACCACGTACAGGTGACTTACAAACAACACAAGCTTATTTGTCAGATTTCTGGAGGCTGGAAGTCTGAGATCAGGGTGTGGCATGGCCAGGTTCTGGTGAACCTCCTCCTGTCGCAGATGGTCACCTCCTTACTGTATCCGCACCTGGGGAGAGGGATCTTCTCTTTCACGTCTTGGTGTATAAGGGCACTAATCCCTGTGTGAGGGCTCCCCCCTCATGACCTCCTCACCTCCTGATATACCACCTTAGGGGCTAGGATTTCGACATATGAACTTTGTAAGGCACAAACATTCAGCCCATAGCAGGTCCCCAGGTCTTTTTTGAATTTGTCCTCTCTCGTCATTCGCCCACTCATTCAGCACATTTGCTGATCACTGAGTTGGATGCTGGAGCTCCAGCTTTGAGCATGTACATGAGCGGGTACATTCCACATGCAGTGATGCACGGTCTGCATGGACTGGGTGGCCTTGGCAGGTCACCCACCTCTGCGAGCCAGTGTCCTCCTCACTGGCAGGCACACAGGTCACAAGCCCCAAATCCCCAGGCTGTGCTCCAGCATGACTTCCTCTGGGGAGCATCTCTAACAAAGAGCGACAGTTCAGCCTGTCCCCAGAGCAGACACCTTGTGCATGTGCCTGCCCCGTGCTGCTATTTCGGTTTACTTGTGCATCTTTGGCCTCCAGTTGATTGTGTCTTACTGATGTGGATGTACACAAAGTCCAGAGGTTGCAAGTTGATTCACTTGTTCAGCACATATTTAGAAGGCGCCCGCTGGATGTCAGGTGATGGGCTGGTTGCTGGTGACCAGAATAGTCCTGTCTGGAGGGTTCACAGGAAAGACAGTTAACCAGTGACCACAGTGTGATGGGGAACGGTAGGGCACAATCCCGGAGAAGGCGGCCAGGCACGGTTTTCCTGCAGAAGTTGGTTTAGTAATTGAGTCTGAGTGAAGGCCCTGGCATTTGTTCCGAGGCAGAAACCTCGAGGGACTGGAACACTGAGCGGGAGGGGTGGGTGGCTGCACGGTGAGCAGAGCCCGAGCCCGCAGACCAGGGGTCACCACCGCCCTGTGAGTGAGCGCAGTGAAGAAGTGAAGAAGGGGCCTGTGGCAGCTGGGCGACTTGCCCTGTCCTACGGTCCTACGAGGGCCGCTGCCACTATGTCCCTGACAGACACTGGGCTATAGGTGGTAGATTTTTCAAGGAAAGTTAGAAATGTAGATTCTTATGCTGTATTTCTTGATTTTCAAGTATTGAACACTAGTTGATGGGCAACCTCCCATCTGTGGGCTGGGTCCAGCCCATGGGCGGCTTTTCCCTCTGCTGGGGACTCTGTGTGCCTGTGGAGGCCTATCTCCATCCAAGAGCAATGAGAAACCACTATCAGGTTGAAGCAAGGCCACAGCAGGATGAGATGGGGGCTTGCAGGAAGACGTGGGGGCTGCAGTGTAGAGAAAGGATTGGCTTCCGGCCGCCCCCGGAGAGATTGCGCTGGCTCAGGAAAGATGCTGGAGACAGAGAGCATGGCGACCCAGCACAGAGCCAGGAGATGATATGGCTTGGTGAGAGACAGGATGCAAGGTCCCAGGGAAGAGACAGTGTCGCTCCTTGCGTCTGGCACCTCAGCCAGGTAGGATTGGCACCAGATGGTGGGATAAGGAGCCCTGGAGGAGAACCAGCTTCGCAGCAGATAAGATGGCAAAGAAACCAAAATGAGCTGCCCAGTGACAGAGCATCTGGAAGGTACAACGGACTCAGGGACTGGACACCTGGACTCCCAGGCAGGACGCTCTCTCCTGCAGCAGCAGAGCTCACGAATGTGATGCTGGCCTGATTGCACAGGGCTGTGCCCACCCTCTGACCCCAGGCAGCTGAGGAGGTGTGCCGTGGGTCCCTGGAGGCTTGGTTCCCACCAGACTGCATTTTTCTGCAAAGTCTTGGGCGGGGCTAGGAGGATGTGTAAGCAACTCAGTAAATGTTTTGTTTTGTTTTCAAATCAGTGATCCAGGAAGATGGATATTGGGCTTCTGGT